GGCAACACCAACAGCATAACCCAAATGTAGCTCTCTCTTGTGAATGGCGCCAGGCGCCCTATCTACTCTACAGCCTATCCTACAACTACAGCAATTAACAGCAACCAGACAACTTGACTACCATCGAGTGATGATGTCAACACCAATGCAGACCTCCACCATCACCAGGTACGTGTCCTCTTCCCCACACTCTCCCTTGTTACCCACACAGCGCCCTTCACCTCCGAAGTACCACCTTCGCCCTCACCTCCCCTGCACCCTCATGCGGCCCAGCTATGGCCGCCAGTGCTCTGCAAGCAGGCAGCGCCCTACCGCCTAGCGCTGCCCTGCTTCTTCTTAGCGCTGCTCTGCATTAGCGCAGCACACTTGCATCTGCGCAGCGTGCCCGCATATGCCAGCATTGGCCAAGATCCCTCCTGCCTCGCCCTCCTTGCCTATATGCCAGTGCAGCATGTGGGCGGCCTGCCTTCAGCCTGTGACCGGGGCCCAGAGGCTGAAGCCAGCTCGATACAGTTGAGCCCCCGGGGTAAGGCAGTTGCGCCTCCTTCATCAAGGCCTGCGGCCAGATTCAGACAGTGGGCCGATTTTCCCTTTGGCATTTTCGGCCTCTCTTMCCAGCATGCATTGTCGGCCTCACGTTCAGATGCCCAGGGCCTAACCAACTCAGAGGCCCTGGGCTTTCAGCATTTGCTGAAATCCGAGACTCAGTGCACTCCAACCAACTGGCGTGCTGCAACTGTATGGACCCCACTTCGTGAAATGTTGCACAGAGGGCTCTTGTCGATTTGCTGGCCCGCCTTCACTTAGGGCGGGCACTAGGCTTGCTGGGGCCTTAGCCCAGAACATGTACATCATGGCAAGGCCCCTAGATGAGGGCTCAATCCTCACACATGCAATTGAGAACATTAAGATGACGTTCATACAAGCTTGAGCGGTGTCCATGAACAGTGCAAATTCGAAGTTCCACTCAAGGCACAATAATATACACTTGAAAAAGTTCGGGAATAAGCGGTTTCAACCGCTGCAACACTCCTCAGGTATGGACCTGACTCCCTCCTCCTCCTCTCCTTTTCTCTCTTGCTCGCTCTCTCTTTATGCTCTACTTCATTGTTCCTCACTCACTGTTTCTCACTCACTGTTCCTCTCTCTCTACAATGCCCCAAATCTACCCTGAATGCCTCTGCGGTGTCTCACTGCAACGGGCGGTTACGGTCGCCAACCACTTCGTCTCCTCTCTCCTGGCTATGGTGGTCTGTTCCAGCCAGGGTGCTGGTCTTCTTCCTCCCTTCAGCCTTCTTCTTCGTCCAGGTCGCTAGTCTGCACAAGCTCCCAGCAGCGCTCACACAAATTTGCGAAAATGAACAACTGACTGCCTCCGGCACTGTAGTCCAAGATACATTGCAATGACTTGCTGATTTCTTCTGCCGAGATCTGACTACGAGGTTGTATAATCGTGTCTTAGGGTCAGATTCGTAATTTTGTTTGTGTCAGGGACTAACCGCCGGTCCAGTCCTGAGGGAAATTCGTGAGGGACATATCTGCAATTTACACGAAAATTGCAGGCCCGAGTTCCCCTTAGCCGTTACTGCCCTTAGCAGACCCGGGCTATCACTAGGACAGCAGGCCCATCTGGGCCTTGGGCTTTAGAGACGGTCTTGACGCCGTATAGCCGGGTAGGGCCCAGGCCAGGCAGGCCAAATTGATGCGGAACCGGTCCAGTAGGTCTAGGTCTAGAGTAGGCTAGGCTATTAATAGGACTGAGCCTGTAGTTTAGGGGCTTTTTCGGCTGATCACTTTCGCGAAGCAGCGTTTGGAGGAGCCAAGCAAGTTGGTGGTGGTGATTGTCTACAGGCGGTATCCTGAGACCCTCGCCATGAACGGCAGCCATAGCCAGCCTTCTGGAGGTTGCCATAGCTGGGGCATCCTCAGCGCATCTACCCTTGGGGGTATCTGCGTCTGGCTGGGCTAGACCGAGGCCCTTCACTGGGTACTCGTGGGTGGACCACTGTCGCCCATCTCGCATCTGGAGATATTAGGGCTGTGTCAGTGGTACGGCAGCCATAGCTGCCTGTTTCCTCGTCAGAGTTGTTCATCGGCACTGAAGACTTCATCCCAGGACCTGTTTCTCATCTGGGTGGTTGGCGCTGGCCTTTGGGGAGGCCATTTCGATGTTGCGCTACTAACTGGGTGTAGGGTAGATACCGGAGTGTGGAGTTCTGAGAGTGGCGAGATACTGGAACAAACTCTGTATCGATATTTGGTTTGAGTTGGCTCATCATCAGTGTGAATCCTATTGTTATCCTCGCAGGTGTCTTCTTGTGATTGGTTGTTGGGAGTATTGTCAGAGAGTGAGAAACACTGTGTGTCTTCTCCCCATCTGTGCATGGCTGTATTCCGCTGCCTACTTTGATCTGTGCGCAGGTTGGACTCTGTCTCCTCTCCCCTTCTTCTTATGCAGGTATGGGCGTGTATGAGATTGTCTGTGTGTGAGTGGCGGTGAAAATCGTCAGACAACCAAGTTCATAACACTCAGTTGTAGTGGACTGTTTCGTGCCTGCTTCAATCCGTACTGGCCTCCTTCAGCCTCTGCCTTGCCAATTGCTATTTTGGGAAATTTCCCGACTTTCTTGTGAGGCTGCTGCAAAGTTTACTTTTGGGGACTTGACATGCTCCTACCAGTACTGTACGGTACTGTAGCCTACCAACCTACGGTGTCTGATCCTACAGGCCCTAAGACTCTAAACAATTGGGGCATGGACTGTGGTAATTAGGGACCCTAGAACCAGGATTGGGAAAGCTTACAGCGTGAATCCATTCATGTATGTGACACACACACACACAAAAAAAAAAAAAAAAGAGCACAATGTGACAGTTTCGGTGCAAAATTTGCCGAAAATAACACCCCTGGTTAACCACAGGTTTGTTGATTGATCCTGTTGTCTGTCTATCCCCTTGTCTCACTCCTTTGTTCCAATCCTTTTTTTTTTTTTTAAATGAATGTATTTATTCACTGATTTATTTATGTGCCCCTTCTGTGTCAACCCCTGTCGCACTTCTTTGTACCAACCTTCTTTTCCGTTTTTAACTTTTCAAAAAAAATAAAAATTCAATGTATGTATTTGTTCACTAGGCTGTCTTTCCGGGCGCGCGGCACCCAACTTGTCCCCGGATACGCGCCCGGGTGCCAGGCCGGGTGTGACCCCCAAGCAGGGTCGTGGGCAGCCCCAGCGCAAAAAAAAAGGAAAAAATGCCCTGGAAAAATATGCTGTGTAGAATTGCAATAGAAGCGACTTTGGCTGAGGGTCACATCAAAATACCTCACAGAATCGGGGATAAAAATAAAATAAAATAAAGTAACAGCATCGCACTAAGGCACCCCCCTTCAACCCCCTTTAGCCCCCTTTAAAACCAATTTATACGCCCTTTTCCGCCCCTTGACAGCCAACTCTCTAAAGAAAAAGAGCTTGGATTTCGGGTCCCCCGGGCGTCATGCCTGGGTGCCCATCCGGGCGTTACAGTCTTCCTGGTTTATTTATTTATTTATTTGCCCCTTGGTTCTTTGTGCCACCCTGTTCCGTCCTCCTCCCATTTTTTTTCCTCCTGTCTTCCTCCCTCTCCCATCCTCTCCCTAACTCTGTCAATCATCTTACACCTTATATCCATTTGGAATTTTTGTATCTTATCCGTCTGAAATCATCTTGGCATTTTATCTTATCTAATCTTATCCATCTCAAATCAAATCATCTTATTTTAATAATCTTATCCATCTCAAATCATTTTACATCTTTATCCATCCGTAATCTTTTTTTTTTTTCCATCCGCAATCATCTTACATCTTTATCTTATCCATCTGCAATCATGTTACATCTTATCCATTTGAAAGTTTGAACAGACTTCTACACGGCGTGGCGAGTAATCTCGAAGACGATTCCGTCTTTGCCATGGGATCCAATCATTGCCCCAAGGTAAGTTGCAATTTTGGAGGGTTTTTTTTTTTTTTTTTTTTTTTGTAACATGTACTCGTTGCGCATTGTTGGCATACGTGGATTGCACGTGGTGTATATAGTGTGCTTGGTGCCGACGGATCAAAAAGTGTGGACAGAATAAAATTTCCAAAAAATTACACATCAAAATGGCACTGGCGGTACCAAGTTACCAACGCATAGTAAGATTTTACGAAAATAGGTCGAATTCCCTCTTAGAGAGGAAAAACGGGGCTTCATGAGCCTTAAAAAAAA